TGCGAGCACTCCGGTGTTAAAAACTAATGCTCAGAACATCTATTATTTTAGTTATAAGAAGTTATAATCCCCAATAGTGAGTAGTGCAAGTTCTTTGAGTTATCTCTCAAAAGAATAAATATTTTTGTTTGAATGTAATTATTCAACTTCTACAACAGTACTACTGCCTACCGTATTATTGTTGAATGTTGAATTGTCAGCTGATCTCTGTGGTAAATGGTGATATCTACACTGCCTGGTACTTCTCCTTAGTACCATAACATTGCGACTCATGAGGGAGTTAAGATAATAGGTATATAGAAAATGGTTTGGGTTCATATACGAGGCGCTATTACCTAAAAGTCCGTGGAATTCACACGTACCGTAGCCTAATGTGAATCTCAAACAGTCGTTTGCTTGCCAAAACTAGTTTGCTTTAAAGAAGTGCCGTTGTGATTATAAGGAGGCTATAATACGTCTAATATCCCGTTTCTCATTTATTCGTGAACCGTTTCTCATTTATTCGTTCGTAGCGTAACATGACTTCATCAAAAAATGGATGAATAGCTATGACTACTCGAAGCACACTTCGCGACTTGTCCTATTAATTGCACGTTATCCAACACAAGCTTGCCAAGATATGTGAAATACGTCCAGTCACAGGAACAAGAGTCAGTTGGCTCGTGGCTAGGTCACACAAATTCCAGATAAACGTAAAATACTTTTGTTAATTGAAAAAAAAAATGCAGACCGTAAGGCTATCTGTATATTTTCTTTAGAACTTTTTGAGCTAAAAACTGGTTGAGTTGATCTGTCGAGTCAGTGGATTCAGTGCTGTTTCAGGCTTGCTTTTTACGGACGTTTATTGAATACTTTTTCTTTTATATTAATATGAGTATAAAAATAACATATATACAAAGAAATAATAACTTTAGTTAGGAGTGTAATATTTCATTCTTATGTCATTTAATATCGAGATATAGCATAAAATCTATGATTGACAGCTCACAAATACCTGATGTCTCACACTTGGACTCTTTAAAGCATGATAGGAAGCACAAGCCATCCGACTGGCTGCCCTTCCCTTTGCATTAAGATGTGAGTATTAGTCATACTCCGTACCCGAATGATATCAGAAAACTCCACAGGATGTCACGCAGAGCCTGGGATCTCATCGCCGGCTGTCCTTGAAAGAATCTGGGGAATACCCATTTCTTTTTGTGAATATCACTGATATTCGCTATATAGTTAATTTTTGACATTGAATGAATTATTTAGGATGTGTGACAAATTATTTTCGTTTGATATAAGAGAGAGGAGAGAGAGATTTATTTATTACCGCGAGCATTTTACAAATAAGCATCTGCCTGGATAACAGAAGGTCGCGACTCATGAATTTCTGCGTGATCAATTATTTGTATTGCGTGAATAATTCATTTGCATTAATAACATGTAAAAAAATAAAAGAGGGAATTTAATTGGAATTCAAAAATGATTGTGTAGTACCATAACATGTTATGTGGGTGCCATTCGATGACAGCTTTGTATATGAATGAGGATACTTGAATGAAAAATTACCGCAATCCTATTTAAACAATTAAAAAAAATATTTTGCGCTTAACCAATTACACTGAGAAAGAAGTCAACAAAATCATATTGAATGTGTAATCATCATCTCAGTACATCTAAATGTTAGCGTCGTACAATTCCTGTCGCACAGGTGACGTTTGAATTCTGATGCAGACGTCGACCATTTTAACATGTTGGAATTCACACCGAGGACAAATAATACTCTAAAAAGCAAACGCCTCTCTTTTAAGATAAGGCAGCACACACTATTTTATTTGTTCGGTTTAAACAGGATGTTTATCTGCATAAGCATTAATAATTCGAGGGAAGTACTGAATGTTTATCCATTGGAGAGAAAAAAGAGAGAGGGAGAGACGAGAGGGAGAGAGAGAGGGAGGCGGGGGAAGAAGGGGGATAGAGAGGAGGAATAGGATGAGAGAGGAGAGAGAGAGAGAGAGAGAGAGGAGGGAGAGAGGCGGGAGAGGGAGAGAGAGGGAGCGGGGAGAGAGAGGAGCGGGGAGAAGGGAGAAGAGAGCGGAGAGAGAGAGGGGAGAGAGAGGAGAGGGGTAAGAAGAGGAGAGGGGGGAGAGAGGGGGGAAGAGAGGGGATAGAGAGAGGAGAGAGAGAGAGAGAGAGAGAGAGAGAGAGAGAGAGAGAGAGAGAGAGAGAGAGAGAGAGAGATTTGTGGTGAATCCAACTATTGGGCTGGACATTCACAGTTTAGCCCATAGTGCAATTGACTCCACAGAACGTCCATTAGACGGAGAACTGTGATGTGATGAACTTGCCAAAAGTGGAAAATGTATTAAAATAATATAATACAGTACATAAGTTGATAGTTGAATATGTGAAGTTAATGTAAACAATTACAACAATCTGTCAAATATTTGAACAAAGAATGAACGGGCACGTGGAGCAAGGAGTGCTATTCTGAAACCCTGTTAACAAAGTAGAACAATATTATAAAACTTAACCGGTGAGCTGCAACATTGATCGATGTCAAGCACATGCTAGCCAATACCTCCAAATGATAATACCTCAAAGGATAACTGGAACCCCTTTTGCAATGAAACCCTTAGAGTCATATGAACTGATTGTGCAGCACTCAAAGCTACTACACGTCTGTCAGTGTTAAAAGTATACTAATAATGGAATTACTTAACAACAGAGTCAAGGAGTGATTGGAGAAATGGAAGATATGAAGCAAAATACAAGGCAAACTTTATTGGAATATAGCTAAATATATTTCTATATCAAATATTCCTCAATTGCGAGTTTGTTTGCTGAGAGGGACAAATGATGCGGAGACGACAGGAAATCTGGTGTTTGGCTGACAAACAAGAAATCCCAGTTAGTGGACCAGGGTATAGAGTTCCCGATCTGCCTTTTCAGGCTTAATTATCTGATAAGAGAGATTGCGTGCACAACGCGGCAGAAATCCAGATTGAAGAACCTCCTGCTGGGCAATTATTACTCGCGCAACTTTTCTTGAACGATGGATTGAAGAAATGCGAATAGAGTGCAGTATTAGTTACGAAATCGGCCACTAGATTTTATGAAGCAATGCCAATCTCTGGAGAATCAGTCATGCCTTCGCAACTTTCTCAATAAATTGCGTTCTAACTTTCTCAGGAGTTCGAGGTATATCTCCTGTGATAGATCTTCACCTACTTCGGTCATTTCTTTAGATTCTTTGGAGAAAATCACGGACAGAAGTTCTGGTCTTCAACGGATAATAGTTTCTATTTCACGCCAGTGAAGGTGTGTTGGAGTGTTGTAATCAGTGTACGCCGCGAGCTTGTGTCTTCAACTGTTTATTGTGTCAGAGGGGGAAGCAAGTTCGTCGCTCAAGAAAAGTTGCGCGAGTAATACCATCATTGGTCCAACTCCAGAAGTGGGGACCGGTAAGGCCTCGAAGTACGGCTCGAGCATACGGGCTCAGAGTGTAAATTGATTTCAATGCAGTGCCTTTGACCGGGAAGTCCTAAGGTTCGAGTTCCGACGGAGGGGGATTTTTGTCACTAGCTGCATAGCTAGGTCGAACGCAGCCGCTGTCTGGAGGGGAATTCTAGTAGCTGTCTGCTCTGATTGGTAGTTTGCCGTGGTTTCTTCGATCAACGTCAAGCGAATCTTTCCTTCCCCTTCCTTGTCCTATCCTCACCCCTCACTTACACTTTCATGCACTACACAACCTCACATGTCGGGAAGGTAGAGCTTTTTGGGAAAACCTCGAAAGAAGACGTGTAGGTCGAACTTGGATCTCACCATCCAGCGGAGGAAGATCACCGCTACTTCCTAGATAAAGATGCACCACACTTACGGGGCTAATGACCTTAGCAGTTGACGCGTCCGGAATCACTAAAATCATTCAATCAATCCTTCCGATAGCAATATACTACGATTAAAACCGGAAGTCCTTTCAAGGTCACGAGCTGGCACGGAAGAGGGACACAGTTCTCGAATGGTGAGCTTCGTTACGACTTAAATTTTTGATATTGAAGCTCCCGCTTGTCAGTGTCTCACTCCCACCTCTTTTCAGCTCGTGGTCTTAAAGGGACACTGTATTAATCGAAGTATAGACGCATGGTGGCATTTCACGTCTCGGCGTGAGGTCTTACTTCGATGAAAATTGAGTTCAGAATCAAATTTGGGCATTGCGAACGTTAAGTTTCTCCGTGCGCAATCGCACGTCGTTCTTGGAGGGGTTGTCGTCAGTGGCGAATCACGTTTCGTAAATTTTACGTTTAAAACTTCTACCCCATCCGAGACGTAGCGTCCTCGCAGCGGCGCGAGCCTGCCGATGGTGTGCCATGGGGGAAAGGGCTCATTTCAAGGCTGTAGGAACCCAGGCGCAGTTGGCCGGCGTTCTGAAGGAAATAATGCGGCAAAAAGTTCGCTATCGAGCAAGAATCCTACGTTTTCCTATCACCGTAGTTTAGCATGGAAAAGGAAAATAGTGAAAAAAATATGAGGGGTAGAGAATCCAAGTAATGTATGTAAGTTTGACCTAATGTATAAGGGGAAAATATTTTTTTTACATGAATTGCTTACGTTTTATTTCGGTTTCTGTTAGTGTTCGGAATTTTGGAAATTACACTCGATGCAGCTGCAACCATCAGTGTGTTGAGGTACTAGTCGCTACAGCGGCTGGGAGCAATCTTCAAGAGGAATCTGTGAATTGGGCTCAGCAAATTATTTTTCATGAAGAAACATTTCCTAATTTACACAAATGTTTCAGTGTCAATTTTCCTTTGAATGTTATTCATAAATTTCAAAACCAGTTATACACGCATCGTTCATCTGACAGTATTTTAAGAAAAGCATTGTCATGTCGGAGTCTTTCTTGTCTGTTTAATTTGCGCCCGGCAAAATTCCTTAACAGAGATAACTGAGTCGCCCACAGTTTGTAAACAATCCCAACCTGATTTTATTCACCCACCAACTTTGCAAGTCAGCCGCACCGCTGCTCCAAAGCGTTGCGCTTCCGTGGGAATACGCAGAAGCTTATCAGCACTTCGCAGCGGCGCGTGCTCTCGTCTCGCAGGCAGCGCTGCGCCAGGGCGACCTCGCACGGCTGCGGGCCAGAGGCATCAGAGCAGCCGCGGCTCCAGTCTCATCTCTCGCTCCGCTCCGACGCCGACACGCCGAGAAGCCGCCACATGGCACGTGAGTGACGCACACCAGCAACAGCCGCGATCAACACTGTCCCGCACTGGCCTGCTCCACCACGCCTCGCTCCGTTCTGCACTGCACCAATCGAGTCGCTCCGCCACGGGTCTCTCCACTTCGTCCTGCACCACCCTGTTCGCTCTACCAAGCGACTGACAGGTCTGTCCTGCACCACGCCTATCTCCGCTCTGCCCTGCACCACGCTTCTCTCCACTCTCTCCTACACCAATCCCATCCTCTCACGCACGCCTCTACAAAAAAAAAAAAAAAAAAATACACCACCTCGGTCGCTCACCACATCTCTCCGCTCTGCCTGCACCACGCTTCTCTCTACTATCTCCTACACCAATCCCATCCTCTCACGCACGCCTCTCTCTGCTCCGCCTGCGCCACCCGATGCGCTCCACGACACCTCTCCCCGTTCCGCTGCATCTCGCCGATCCACAACGCATCGTTTTACCTGCAGGTCCTCCACCTGTGCTCATTCTATCCTCAAGCCATACTTCTCCTTTCTGTTCCGCTCGCCCGCTCGCTTCTCTCCGCTTCGAAACAGGCACTCCCCGCCCGTCGCGACCTTCCGCACCGCGTGCACGGAGACGAGCTCTGCAATGCACTATCCGCTTTGCTTTCTACGCTCCTCTCTCCTGTTTAGCCTTGCTCCCTCCGCCTCCTCAACGCTTACCGCCGCCATTCAGCCTAGACCACTCCTCCCGCTCTTCTCAACGCTTACACGCCCCATTCATCCTAGGCAGCTCCTCAACGCATACACGCCCCATTCATCCTAGGAGCTACTCAACGCATACAGCCCCATTCAGCTAGGCCGATCCTCCCGCTTCTCAACGCCTACCTGCCCAGTCAGCCTAGACCGTTCCTCACGCTCCTCAACTTTAACATTCCCCATTCAGCCTAGGCCGCTCCTCCTACTGCTCAACCGCTTACACGCCCCATTCAAACTAGGCCGCTCCTCCCCGCTCCTCAACGCCTACTCGCCTAGCGCCCTATTCAGCCAAGACCGCTGTTTCCCACTCCTGAACATTTACCCACCCTAATCACCCTACACCGCTCCGCCTCGCCCCCTCCCCGCTCATCTCCACCCCGTCTCTTTCCACCTTGCTCCGCATTGCTCAGTCACGTCTCTTCGCGCCGCTCTGTCCCGGATGAACACTAAACACGAACCGTTCATTGCAGAAGCATTGGTTTCCCTTTTCTACCGAAAACTTTTTAAACACTTCTAATATCCACATTTGATTTTAACGATAATGTATGTTTTTTCTCTATTTTTGTTCTTCCTCTATCTAATTACAACATTTCATTACACTAATATGCACTCCTATCAATGAAATATTAAAACTGCGGGCCAGTCTCCTCTATGTTTTTTGCCATATTGGAAATAAGTCACCAAATTATAAATGCCTGAAGAAAACAACTTTATTACACGATCAATTTTAAATATTGTATATTTTGTGATGATGCAGAGTTACACCAGTAGAACAATTCAATTTTCGTTGCAGGCCAGAGCGCTGTGTGGATTGTGACTGTGGTGTTGCTGGTTTTGGCAGCGATTTCTGATGCGTCGGAAGAGTCAACATCTCAAGGTAAAGGCAAGATGGACTAAAGGTTAGAGCACATCAGCGGCACAAAGCTTCGAGGTCTCTCGCCGGGAGAGATGTCACTTCAGTCCCTATGACCGGGAGGTCCTGCGTTCGAGTCCCGACGGTCGCAGAAATTTCGACACTAGCTTGTCAGCTTTGTCGAATTATGTCGCTCACTGGAGGAGAATTTTAGTGACCGGCTGCTCTGATCGGTAGTTTTCCATGGTTTCCCCTATTAACACCAGGCGAATGCCGGAGCAGTACCGTACTAAACGGGCCACGGACCGCGCGCGATCTCACGTTGGTTTTCCTTGTTCTATCCTCTCCTCTTACATAAACACATTAACACGCGCTACACAATCACACATGCCGGGAGACCGATCGGGAGCTTGTCCCGGCTGTGGCGGTGCCTGGCTAGGGAAATACCTGGAGATACTCTGGTTGGGGGAGAAGGAGATACGTGGTGAGGGAAAACCCCTCTATCCGACGGTAGGACTGTGCCGGATCTCACAACACAGCCAGAGAAAGATCACCGCCTTCCGAGCCGAAACATGCACTACCCTTACGGGACTAACGGGACTAACTACACTTACGGGACCCTGTTAGTTGATGTGCCTGGAATCACTAGAACAATCAATCGATCGAGATCTCCCCACTTTTCTCTAATACCAGTCCCTGCTCAATCATCCGGGCTGCAACATCCCGTCTCCGGATGCCAAAATGTACTTCACCCGTTGCCGTCCCGTCCAAAACAATAGACGGGGTCGAATACAGAGGAGGTCGCTGAAGGGAAATTCAGTGGGTGAGGAGGCGGTAACACCAGCGGTAGGCCCTGCAGTTGACCTTGAACCGATGAATTTGTTTGCGGTTACTAATGTGGTGTTACACCAGTTCAGAATTTCGATTCACCCTCTTACCTTCCCCTTTACTAGCCACCTCCAAATCCATTATAATGCATCAGATATCACATTAAAGGACGTGTAGCATTTAGAAGTAAAATCGACCTTAGCTGTTCTCTATGCCTGTGGTTAAGTAGCAGGGAGATGCCAGTGTAAAGCAAACGATGGGTCATTTACAGCCAAGGTTTTGGTATTTCTCATAAAAACTGGTAGTGCTACAACACGTACTTGAACATCTCGGTCATTACAAACAAAACTCCTTTCCAGTGGTAGAATAGAGGTGCAATCTTTGTAATTACATCGGTATCAAGAAGCAGTTGTTGAAGGCCTTCGGGCAAAGCAACCGTAAAAAAAGAAATAGTTGCCATTTCTTACCCATTTACAAAACAAGTTTGGTTAAATCTATTGTAAAAGAATTCGCAGGACATTATACAGAGAAGTAAGAATAATTTCTACAAGCGCCTCTGTTAAAGCTAAAACATCAATTGAATAATCCAATCAGATTGAATAATCCACAACTTCGTTCCGTACAGCAAGAAACATAATAATGCTTAATATCTCTAAATAAGGCAATTCATAGAATTGATTTCTCCCACTGCCTTGTTGCGGTGTTACCATTCTCGTATTGCGGCCTGATAACCGGGGTGACTATTCGAAAAGTACTAATGAGCCTGTTTTAAAAACAACTGCAACAACACATATTTTGTTGCTTTATCTGTAACGAACACGTAATGCTCGTGTCATAATATTGCAAATTATATCCAAGTAACTTTACTGCTACCTAGTGATACATACTTTTCACCAAAAGAAACGCCTAAAATTCGAATTTGCAATTATATGATAGACACGATGAATGCTTAAATGATAGACGCACTTTAACCATGTTTGTAAGAGTGCTTTACTCCACTCTAAGAAAGCATCTTAAGAAAAAAACGTTTTCTCTTGTCGACAATCGGTATGTTTTTTTTACGAAAACGTTCACGAAAAGAACGAAAAGTAACCATATTTCGAAAAAAATACATTAAATTATTTTAAATTTAAATATTGAGAATTATATTCCACTGCTGAAGAAATATCTAGCGTCAATGCTGAAGGCGAGAGACAGGTTCTAGAAACATTTCGCCTATTTCATCATTAAACTAAAAATTACATCGAACGAAAACTACTCATAGTTTCAAAACAATTGAACATAACCTTATTTAATGGTCTAATTTCAAAAACAGGTTTTGTTAAGAAAAGAATCTCTATCAATATTGCTACGTTTATTTGTTGTTGTTTTAAAATATATAGAGTTATACGACAATGGAATGTGTAGCATTTTTACAAGCGTGTTGCGGCAAAAAAGAAAGAAAAAAATTTGAAGCCGTTGTTTAGAAGATGGTTTTCTAATGTATTTTTCATGCAAATATTACACGAAAACCACTTACATTTTTAAAAAATTGTACATGACCTAAATAATTAAAGATCTATTTCTAGAACAGATTTCATAATGGAAAAATCTCAATAATTAATATTGTAGGTTTGCAATTTTCAAAAATATAGGTCACCAAAAACATGATCCGCGACATTTTTATAAGCGCGCTTTGCTCTATTTGAGAAAAATCGAACCACAAAATTCCATGAAAATTACTTGTTTTCGAAAAATCGTAATTACCTTATTTTAAGATGTCTTTCAATAACAGATTTCATTAAGAACAACTTATTTATCTTCAATATTGTAATTACAGGAAGATGCTGAAACTATGAACTTCTGCAAATTTTCGATTGCTCTGCTAGAGAGACCAAACGTTTTTCGTATGGTACTGCTTCTGTGTTCCTTACAGAGTCTACACTGTTGACATGCAATTCGTTTCAAATTCTTTGATTTTGGAATTCTGAAGCAAATTGATGAGGAATTCCTATTGAAGAAAATAACCTTTATTGGGGGACGGCGAGCGTCGTCATTTCGGACCCTTGGCTTCCGGGCCCCAGTTCCCCCCCGCCCCCGTTGCAGCCCAGCTACACCACTGATAACAATGGCGATTAGAGTTAAGGAGAGAACAAACAAGGGTAGGAGAAGGGCACGGACACAAATGAATGTATTTAATATATGTGCTCACATCTGGAATAGATGTTAACTAAGATTATCGCAGAGATAATTTATTTGCATAGGATACTAATGTCCATAATCCCAGAATGATATCTTCATACGACATAGAACACTCGTTTCATATATCACTCTGTTTAGTCATATTTTCAGGTCCAGCAGATTGTCTAGTGACAATTGTTGTTAAAAATGTTCATACAATGGGGTTGGCACCCTAGGGCGAAAGTCTTAGGGATGTGAAGCCAATATTCCGGTTAGACTGTTTGGTCTCAGGAATAAGAATTAAGAAAGAGAAGAAGATGACGAAGAACATAGAATAGGAGTAAGAAGGGAGAAAGAACTAGTTGATGAAAAACAAGGAGAACTAAGGAAAAGAAGTAGTGAAGGGGGAAAGGGAGATCAGAATAAAGAAGGGAAAGATGATGGAGGAAGAAAGGTGATCAGGAAGAGCGGGAAGAAAAAAAGAGCGAATGAAATTGAGGGGAAAAATTTGAAAAATGGAAAATCAAAGGAGGACGGTGATAAAGGGAAAGAAGCAAGAAGGGAAAGGTGAGGATGAGGAAGGGGACACAAAGAAGGGTCAGTTGAAAACTCGTAAAAGCAAAAGAAGGAAGTGGAGAGAAAAATTGGAAACCAGTTGACTAGCTATTCCTGAGAGACCCAAAGAACTATTCCTCGAAGTTCAAGTGAATGCAGCTGCGAAGCGCACGGAATGGAGTTAGCACGCTGCCATGGAGGAAGCACGCCGTGTTACGTGACCGAGATAGGCAGCCATGCGCGGTGTCGCGTCACGTCGCAAACCACCTGCGCGCCCCTTCCGCCCCCGCCCCCGCCCACCCACGGGCGGTGAACTGCGCGATCTCCAAGCAACTGGCGACAGCCTCGCGGGCGGTTTCATTCAACGCTTCATTCGCCGCGGTGAGAACGTTCTTCTTCTTTGCCTTTTTCTTCATCTTATTAATATTCCCTAATCTACTTTTTTCCAATTTTTCTCTCCTCTTCGTTGTCTTGCTTTTACGAGTTTTCTCCTCACCCTTCTTCGCGTCCCCTTCGTCTTCCTCCTCCCTCCTCTTGCTTCTTTACCTTTCATCTCCGTCCTGCTTTGATTCTTCAACTTTTTCCCCCTCAATTTTCTTCGTTCTTCTTCTTTCCGCTCTTACTGATCACCTTTCTTTCTCCTTCATCTTTCCCTTCTTTGTCCTGATCTCCCTCTCCCCCTTCAATTCTTCTTTTCCTTAGCGCTCCTTGTTTTTTATCAACTAATTCTTCTCCGTTTTCTTCTTCTTCTTCTTCTTCTTCTTCTTCTTCCTCGTCTTCTTGTTCTTAGTCCTTAGTTCTTATTCCTGAGACGTAACAGTCGAACTGGAATCTTGGTTTCACATCCCTAAGCCTTCACCCTACGGTGCCGGTGCCCCATTGGATGAGCATTAACACAACTATTGCCACTATACAATCTGCGGGACCTGAAAATATGACTGAACTGGTGCGATACATAAAACGAGTGTTCTCGTTCGTTTGAGGATATCATTGTGGGATTGTGGACATTAGTATTCTAGGTAAATAAGAGCTCTCTGCGATAATCTTAGTTAACATCTATTCCTGCTGTTGTGAGCACATATTTTAAATGTATTACTTTGTCTCCGTATCTCCTTTTCCTTCTCTTGCTTGTCCTCTCCTTCGCTCTAATCGCCTTTGTTATCACTTGTGTAGCTGGGCTGGAGCAATGGGTTGCGGCACCGGGATCCCGGAAGCCAAGGGTCCGGAATGACGACGCTCGCCGTCCCACAATAAAGGTTATTTTCTCCAATAGGTATTCCTCATCGATTATGCAGAATTCCAAAATCAAACACTCCAAAACGAATTGCATGTCAACCAAATATTTGTTAAGTAATTTTTGCTACAATTAGAGTTGAAAGAATTGTTTAGCGATGCAACAAAAATATAGCCAAAAGTGCGTGAGTGTTGGGGTTCAGCGCGTCAGCCACGTCATCTGAGTGTTTTCGTGTTTGGCAGATTGCCGAGCCACTTGTCCGGCCAGACTCATGTTTTGGAAATGAATTCACGAAATGTAAACGATCGTGGTTGTCCGGGTGCGCCGTGTCGAAGGCTGTAGTGCCGACGTTTCAACACACTTTCAAGTGTTCTTTTCTTTTGTTTGGCTGACCTTCGGCAGATCGGCCCTGAGGAAGTCCACGGCGCGGTGGTCGAATGTCGGCAGCACAGCCATCGATTCGGAATCACCTGGACAGCCAAGATTATTTACATGACTCTAGTCGCGGAAGCCTACGACGAATACAAACTAGTGGAGCTAAAACAGCACGTAGTTTCTCGCTTTTAGTAATGGTTTTGTAATCCTAGTTATATCACAATCTCTCTTCGAATTAATATAACTGTCATCAAAACTTTAAATGAAAATATATTTCTGTCATTGAATTCATTGTATAATATATGCAGTGTATTCACGAACGTATCGGATGAGTTTTTTACCCATACAAAATTCTTAGTAAGCAGTATACAAAGAGTGACTGGTGGTGCCACTGGCACACTATTCTGTATTAGTTTTCTGTTTCCTTTGGTCTCGGCTAGCTACTTGGACTTGCCAAATACTCTTGCTAGCTGACATCTATCGCCGCCCAAAGTACATTTTTTGACATCTTCTTGATATTTTGATTTCCTACTTGTAGAGCGGAAATATTATTTTAAGACTATTAAAGGATAGTAAAATCTCAGCCAAAATGGCAATTTTCTTTGAAAAAATTGAAGCCATGTAAGTAAAATATTAAAGATAGTGATTTTCTCCCTTAATAAAATCTGTTACCGTTTTTTAAGTCTCGGTTTAATAATTGATATTTCATAAACTTTTCAATTAATTTTTTACCTTAAATAGTTTATTAGAGTAATTACTTATAAGGTAGAACTCTATGAAATGAAAAATGTCAGAAAAGTCTAAATTTTGCAATAAAAAAACGTACACCAGACAACGCAAAAGTTCAGTTATACCCACCAAGGTCCAATCAAATTTTGTCCTGGAAGTATTCACATGAAACAGTATTAGGAGGATCGGTATTTCTGCTGAAATATGCCTTGGGGATATGAAAGATGAAATGATGATTATAAGGGGGGGGGGAAAGGACGACACATACAATCACAAATACGCACATGCCCGAGGCGGGATTCGAGCCCTCAATCATCGGCACTGCTGCCTTAACAATCTTGGCAATCAGACTGACACTTACGACTATTATTCAAACTATTTTCCAAAAACTTCTTCTAGCTTAAACATTGTAATCTTTCATTTGTGAAAATAAAACAACTCTAAGAGGTTCTTGAAATAACTTCCACAGTTTAGATTTTATTCGGGGAGGGGAGAGGGCTACGTTTTAGCATTGTCCCGGGTCCAAAAGTGTCTAGCTCCGCCACTCATAGTTAGCGTGTTCCTTGTGCCGGCGGTGTTTCTTGACGAGCGACCGTCCTTTCCACAACGCCATACTCACGCGGTTTCTGATTTTCAGCCGCAGACGGGGCGCAGCCGCAACGCGAGATCACAAACGTGTGCTCAGCGGCGACGCCCTCCGGCTGGCATCTGCCCTACCCGGGCGACTGCTCCCTGTTCGTCAAGTGTGAGCCAGTTCTGTGGGGCGCCGCCACCGCCGCGGCCGCCGTCTTTCGCTGCCCAGCGCCGCTGCATTTCAACCCACGCGCGCAGGTGTGCGACTGGCCGCGAAGCGCCGGCTGCGACGACGACGACGTCATCGGCATAGAAGGCTCTGGATACGGGGCGGAGATGCTGCCGTAGAACAGCGCTGCACTTGAGCCCGCGTATTCAGATGCGCAATTGGTGGCGAAGTGCCGCCTGGGACCACAGCATCCTCGAAGCAGAAGGCTCTGTATCTGGCGAGAAGATAGTGCCATAGATAACTGCTGTACCCAGGTGTGCAATTGGTGGCGATGCGCCTTCTGGGACCACGGCATCCTCGATACAGAAAGGTCTGTGTGCGGCGGGGAGATACTGCCACAGAATTCGCTGTCCTTCAGACCACGTGCTCATGTGTGCAATCGGTTTCGAAGTATCCCCTGGGACGACAACGTCCTCGATGCAGAAGTCTCTGGATCCTCGCGGAGATACTGTAATAGATCACCGCTGCACTTCAACCCACGCGCACAGGGGTGTATCTGGCTTTGAAGTTCTCGCTACAACCTAAAAATCCTCGACGCAGAAAGCAGTTGATACGGGGCGGAGATGCTGCCGTAGAACACCGCTGCACTTCTGCCCACGTATTCAGGTGCGCAATTGGTCGCGAAGTGCCGCCTGGGACCACAACATCCTCGAAGCAGAAGGCTCTGTATCTGGCGAGGAGATAGTGCCATAGATACCTTCTGTACTTGAACTCATGTGCTCAGGTGTGTCTTTGGTCGCGAAGCCCCATCTGTGACCACAACATCCTCGAAGAAAGAAAGGTCTGTATGCGGCGCGGAGATACTGCCACAGAATTGGCTGTCATTTAACTACGTGCTCATGTGTGCAATTGTGCAATGTGTGCAATTTCGAAGTGTCGGCTACGACGACAAAGTCCTCGACGCAGAAGTCTCTGGATACAAGGGGGAGATACTGCAATAGAACACCGCTGCACTTCAACCCACGTGACTAGTTGTGCAACTGCGAATCATCGGCTGGGACCACAACATCCCCGATGCAGAAGTCTCTATATCCGCGGCAGAGGTGTCGGGGAACACCGCTCAACTTCAATCCCACGCGCGCAGGGGTGCTTTGAAGTGCTGGTTACAGCCGAAACATCCTCGACGCAGAAGGCAGTGGATTCAGGGCGGAGATGCTTAGCTGTGCAATTAGTCGCGATGCGCCGTCTGACTCCACAACTTTCTCGATGCAGAATGCTCTGCATCTCCACGGAGATATTGCCGTAGACCACCGCTACACTTCATACAGAGTGCTCACATGTGCAAACGGGTACGATAACAACATCCTCGATGCAGAAGGTTCTGTACCCGCAGCGGTGTCGCAGATCACCGCTGAACTTCAACCAACACGCGCAGATGTGCGTCTGGCTTTCAAGTGCTGATTACAGAGCAGACTTTGGATACAGAGCGGTGATGTTGCTGTAGAACACCGCTGCTCTTCAACCAATGTACAGCTGTGCAATTGGTCGCGATGCTCCGGTTGGGACCCTGACTTCCTTGATGCTGAAAGCTCTGTTTCGGGCGGAGATGCTGCGATAGAACACAGCCGTACTTAAACCCACGTGCTTAGGTGTGCAATTAGTCGCGAAGCGCCCTCTGGGACTATTAAATCCCCGCGCATCATGCTTGCGCACCGCTGCAGCCATGACACCCTCTACCTCTACGTAGATGATTATGTATTCGGGACAAAGATGCAGCCGTAGATCACCGCTACGATTCAAATCACGCGAGCAGGTATGCGAATGGTCTCCAAGAGCTGGTCAAGAGATCTTCGACGCGGAAGGCTCTATGTATGAATTTGAGACGCTGTTGTGGTATATTTCTGTATTTCAACCCACGCGCAGGTGCGAGAGTGCGGGTCTGGCCTTGAACCGCCGGCGACGACCAAGACAAAACTTCCTCCCCGTTGAAGCTTCTTCTTCGAGCTTCGGTCTTTGAGCTTCTTTGGCATCTCGGGGGGCAGAGATGTGGTTGTAAGACATTTGTATGTGGAGGAGTTCAACAAACTGGGCCTCTAATAACGTGCGCCAGAAATTTTGATATATGAGTTCACAAGATTCTAGAAGCTCTGTGGCTCCGTTTAACTGAGATTATCTGGCTAGTCCGCAAGACAGTAGTTGGCGTGATACAAAATTGCACGAGGACAGAGTGAAGGATGGTTATAAGAAAAGCTTTTCGTGTTAGGCCGGTGCGCTTCATGAATGTAACAATACGATTGACTTTTCTGTTTAAACACTGCTAAACGAGGTGATCGGTTGCAAATATAATCTTGCTGCAAGGTTCGATGGTTTATTTCTAAATTCAACGGTGTAGAGAAATATAATCTCTTTTAATCTTGCGTATCATAGCTTCCTCAATCCTTTCCAACAAGAAGCATAACATTTGGCTTGCCTCTTCCTAACATATGACGGTTCCACGATTTCAGACCCTTAAGGATAGACAAGAGGGAATCGATTATATCGGTCTCTCGATCACTATGCTTTGTTTAAACATTTCGATTTGTTTAAATACACTGTTTTTATTATTGCTGAGAAAAATAACTAAAATATTCATGTTTTACTTCTTACTATCGATGTTGTGTATCAATTTGTTAGTATGGGGTCACGAACCACGAACAGAAGAAAATGAAGAGAAAAGCAATTTAAATGGATTTCCGAAATTTATGTCGTGAATTTATTTTTCAGTATACATTCTAAACCAGGCCTACAATCCATTTTGCATTTGTGTTTACCTCGTGTACGACTCGAGGGCAAACTCAGGCAAGAAGTGCGGGATTCTGGCATTGCGGGAACTCCAATCGCCATTCAACATTGAAAATTCAAGCAGAAAGAGTAAGAGGAGTTATCATCGTTAACTGAACATTATCGGCTTGCGTTATAAAAACTTTGAGGTTGGATGTCAGCAATGTGAAACGAGAACTTAAAAGTAGACAATTAATTGAACAGAATTCAGTACTTTACGCATGAAGATTAAATGTGGTCTAAATATATATTGGCATGGGGTATGTGTCTTAATTTACTACAGCAAGATCGCATCAAATGGGGTGCGCTGTATTGTTATAATAGCTTATTGCATTAAAAATAGATGTAGGTAAATATTACATTTATGGTAAATGAACGGAAATTATACTTATAAAATGGATGTAACAATGCTAAACGTAATGTTTGCTCATTTTGAATTCTATTGTTGGTTTTATACAAACAAGGACATATAAATTATTGTCCCTTCACAATGAACAAAACTCATAAAGAAAACCAAATTTAATATTTGTTTCCCCGTTAAAAAATAGATAAAAGAACCTCACCCCTCAGTGAAAATTTGAGCCACGTACCTAAGAAAATCCTCACAAGTCTGCCTATTACCCTTTGATTTGGAGACAAGGGTATGGTTGAGGTTCGCGGTTGAGGTTTGGTTTGGGAGGGCTGGCATCGGTCTCCACGGGTTAGGAAGGAGGAAGGTTTGGAAGAGTATCCATGAATAGATGGAATGGCGATGTCAACAAGTGTTTGGCTTTAACGTATTACCCTGAATAATTGGGAATCGTCTTCTTGGACCTTTTAACACCTCCTGAAAGCTCTCCCTCCGACCTCCTTGGCTCCCGATCATCACCTAGCGAATGCCGGAGCAGTACCCTAACAAACGGTCCACGGACCGCGGCGATCTTTCCTTCCTTATCCTTTATCTATCCTCTCTCCTTACTTACACACGCTTACGCGCACTACACTACCACATATGTCGGGAGCTTGGAGCTTGTCCCGACTGTGGAATTCCCCCGAGAATAGAATGGAGCGAGATACCTAGTTGGGGAAAATCCCCCCAGGCCGACCAATAGGTCGGCGCTGGATCTCGCTATTCAGAGGGAGGATACCCCACACATCCGAGGGAAAACACGAACTATACTTACGGGACTAATGTACTTAGTAGTTGAATCCCTAATCAATCAATCAATCAATCAATCCAGAGGAAGTTTATACTCTTCGTGATTGTTGCAAAATATCCCCAGGACCACCTCGTTTCGATGCAGAGGTCATTGAACTAACTACTATGAACTGTGGGATGACACGTATATTTGGATGCTAGTGATGAGATTTGTTGCTCTTCTCATATCCGGTGAAACAAGATTTGGTTTTTATATCCAGGAAAACCCGATTTTTTGTTACCAGGTTCTGGCAAGAAGTGTTTTTCTGGCGAAAAATTGCCTTTTTCCGGTGCACAATTACAATACTTTCTCCCCTTTCTCTTCTTACGAGGTAAGTGCGAAAAACTAAACTAGAGGTGCAAATACAGCACATACTTCCTTCCCCGTATTTTCACGCAAAATCATACGAAAAGTACACAAATTCTCGAAAAATTGTACATGATCATAGGTTAAAATCTATCTTTAAGGAACAAATTTCATTAAGGAAAGAACTATATCTTTATTATTTTAGTTGAAGGAAGACTAAAAAAAGTTGAACTTTTGCAGTTTTCAAAAATCTGAGTTTTTAAATGACATGAGTCTTGCACCATTCTCTTAAACGACATTTACACTATTCAACAACAAAATTTATTAAAAAACGATGGAACCATTTTTTGTTGAAAATGTCTCAGGGGCTTCACGTAAAGTATCTCCCAAAATTTAAATATATGTTTCAAATTCAAGGAACTGCGACATCAGCCAGGTCAATTTTGGTGAAATACCAATTTTGATGAAAATCGAGTAAGCGGTTTAGCCGCTAGAGTTGTATACAGATGGACGTATGGACAATCGGACGGACAGACAGATATACGTTTTGTGGTCATTCGAATTTTCGGTATCAAGGACCCTTAAAACAAGAATTCTGACTACACCACGTGCTACAGGATTTTCCACTAAATTTAGCAACTGGATGTCTCCACTTTTTCGTTATTAGGGCCCTGTAATAAGTATTTTTCTGCCAACAATTCACCGTTTTTTCGCACAGCAGTACATAACTTTCTCTTTACTCAGTAGGGAGAAGTAAAAATTGGATCATTTTTTAGAAAAGTTTGAAAATGCCGTTAGGACTTGAAATTACGTTTCAAATTCGCAAGACCTCGAGTGTGGCCATTTTGAAAGAAATCGATTTTGGAAGAAATGCTGTAAATCGGTTTAGGTTTTATTATTGTCCACAGCTAGTCGGATAGACTGACGTTTTACCGAAAATCAATTTTTCGGTTTCAAGGATCCACAAAACATTATTCGGACTACACTACACATTTGAGTTATTTACTATATTCAGGAACAAGATTTTTTTTATAATTATGGCATTCATTTTTTTTGGTCAAAAATCGGTACTTTTTCTTACGTTACTGTATTTTATCTATACTAGATACGTACATGATAAAGTAAAATACTTTTTCTTCAAAAAATCAAGAGGCAGGACCTAACTGATTGTGCGCTCCCTGAAATATTTTTGGAGAATGTATTTTTATTTAATATTTAATGTTTATTTTATTTTATTAATTTATTTCATTAATTTATAAAATTTAAGAATTAATGTTTAATATTAAACCTACTTGTTTACGAATGATATATTCACATTTTTTCTCGACAGCACGATGTCGACCGTACTCAATGTAAGAATAGGACGACAATTATCCAAAATGTGTCGCTTATCTACAATGCTACGTCATGCAAACGGTTTACGTAATAATTCTCTCACTAGATCAGTCATAATGTCGAAAAAACTTATTTCAGTCTAAAACTATCACGTAACACGCCTATTTAATATAGAAATAAGGTACAAAATAATCATCATAATACTTTTTTCCACTTTGTAACACCTGAGATAATTTATGGCAATAACCGTTGCCTCTAATGTATTTAACTGAAGGTCATAGCGTTCGAGCCCCGATGGAGATTTTCGTCACCTAAATATCCAGGTCGTATTTAGACGCTGTCTGGAGGAGAACTAATAGCCCCTGACAAACATACCAAGAGGAGGGAAACTCGAAAGTAGGTGCTGTCGAATCTCACGTTCTAGCTGAGGAGGAACTCCATCTCTCGAGGTGTTAAGGCGGCTCCACACATGCGGCAGTCGGCGAATCCCGAACAACCGCTCTTCGAATCCCGAGTAGTGAGCCGGGTTGCTTGCGATTCGCTGAGCGCCGAACATCCGGTATTCGCCCTACCTACCGCGTGTCGGTCTTTAAGGCGGCTCCAAACATTCGGCATTCGCCGAGTAGCTCATCCAATCCCGAATAGCTGATGCGTTCGGCGAATGTTCGCCCCCCTTTGATGTGTCCTAAAGACCGCCACGCGGTGGGTAGGGCGAATACCGAATGTTCGGCGCTCGGCGAATCGCAAGCAACCCGACCACACTACTCGGGATTCGGCGAGCGTTTGCTCGGGATTCGCCGAATGCCGCATGTGTGGTGCCGCCGTTATATGCACGGCACTTACACACCTATTGGCCATAACAGTTGACGCCTCTGGAAACGCGTAATAATCAATCGATTGTCCGCTTGTAAACTCGTCAATTGAACAAGCGCCACGCTGCTACAGTGGCTGCAAAGCGATGTGTTCCGAGCGCCGCACGGCGTGAGTGCAGGCTGTTCAAATCATAATAATTCACCTAAGCAGAACGCGCGTGCATCGAGTGTCTCCAAAGCAAGTGTGGTGTAAGCTCATTCGGTTTTTTTCTTATTTTATATTTTTAGATGAAAAATACTCAAAGTGTAAGCGCAATTAAAAGTATAGTAGGTGTGAAATGTATTTAATTAGTAAATATTTATCAGCTTATGTACTGCCAGCGCTCCTGGCAAGCTCTTGGTCAGCGTGCTCGATTTCCATTATGCGGCTCCGAGTTCGATTCTCGGTCCAGCCAAGATTATAGTGTGCGTTTCCTTGCAATGTCCCAGTTCATGTTGCTGGGACGAAGAGAAAATTCACTTCTCAGGTTGAGAAGACCGTAATACGGCGTGGGGATGACTACGTGCTAACCACACGTACCTCCCGTAATCCATGGCCGCGAGGCAGGGACGTCGTAGGTAAGCCTGAGCCCGTTCACGGGCTGATTACCTTGCCTACCCCAAAGGACCGCCTCTGGCAGACCCAGCGGCCTCGTGTAAGCGGCAGCAGACTTCGGAGGGGGAGGGGTCTAAAAAACCGGAGCTACTTCTGAGAAAATCCTGTATGTTTGTATAGTGATCTTGATTACATTGAAAAATGCGAAAACGACTTTAAAAAATAATTGAAGATCTAATTTAGAAAAAAATGTATACCTTTAATAATCTATTTTAGGTCCAAAAAAATTTATACTTTTGGAATATCTGAAAATTCAGATGTCTGAATGAAAATCGGACCTGCGCCATTTTTAAAAAGGTTTGTTGCTCTATTTCAACAACAAAACTAAAGCATAATTATGGAGTCTTTTTTTAAATAGAAAATGTTTCGAGGCTTTATATCGCCCAAAATTGAAAGGTTTGCTTCAGGGTTTCTCTTTGGCGGCAGGTGGGGGTTGGTTATATAAATCAGGATGACAAAGAAGAACACGTTTCTTTCAATGTAAGTGCTCAAACATACTTCACGTTCAAGTTATTTCGGTTGAATAATGAAATTATTTTAATTAAAAACTTTTTTTAAATTCCAGATCGTTTTTACTGCTCTTTCGTCGTACTTCTACCTTTTTGTCTACTCATACTAAAGAGCCGTCCATAAATTACGTAACGCAAATTTGGAGTATTTTGAATACCCCCTCTCCCCCCTGTAACGCACGTGTAACGAGTACTTGAACCCCCCTCCCTCAAATAATTACGTAACGCTTGCGACAAGGCTCCCACCCCCAAGATTCATTCAATATATCATTGATGAAAACTATTTTCATTTATTGCAACAATTTATAGAATATAACTTCTTTAATTTATTATATTTTAATTTAATTTGTTAATATGTTAATGATTTAGTATGTGACTGAATAAATGGAATTATTTCAGCTGAAGTTGAAAGATTTTAAAAATAAATATCTGCATTACGTTCACTAAACTATAAGCCTCCTACCCCTTTGTAACGCAGCGTAACACAGCCGCAAACCCCCTCCCCCTCTTCAGCGTTACGTTATTTATGGACGGCTCCTTAGTAAAATTAAATACTTTATTAGTTTTTACGTCTGTAAACACGCACATAGCTATGTAGCAACCAACCACCTAAAACCCGCTTTGCGTCCAAAACAACGACCGATGAAATGCTCATTTTTCCCACTGTCTCTCTTTGCTCCCTTGTTTCATTTGTTCCTTTGAACCATTTTGTTCCCTTGTTCCATTTTGTCTCATTGCGTGTCTTGTCCCATTTATACCCCCTTTCCCATTTTGTCACCTGTCCCATTGTTCCCTTGTCCCATTTTGTCCCCTTGTCCCATTCTCCCTCGCATAATTTGTCTCCCTTTCCCCATTTGGCCATTTCTTCCCCTTTTCCAATTTTGACCAATTTTGTCCTGTTTTGCCCCCTTACCCTTTTCGTCCTTTCCCAGCTTTGGTCTACTTGTCTCCCTTTGTCCTTTTTGTCTTTCGCACACTGCAAGTGTTATTTAAAAACGGTACCAAACCCTGTACTAGCAACCCTTGCTACAGAGCGTGGTGAGTAATGACAATATTCTTAACTCATGAAAATGTCAAAAATTTATTTAGAATAAGAATAATAACTAGAAATAACAAAAACAATTGTTTGTAACATATCCTTTATTAGTATTTAAGGACTTGTTACATAAATCACTATTATTTGCCTTTTTTAGACAGTAAATGGATTAACCTTGCGGGCTCTATTAATACTAATAACATTAAAGGATGGTTGTTCTCATACTCTGTGTACAATTTTGTGATCTTGAAGAAATTTAAAACCTTTCTCTATAACGAATCAAATTTCGCACAAACGCATGAAATTAAAAGAAGCTTTGTCAGAAATTAAACACGAAGTGCAACCAAGAGCATTCAAACTAAAATACGTAATGCCCTCGTTTCATTTGCTGTTCTTTTCTTTCATTCTTCGACATCGTAGAGCAGTCGACGTCATTTTGCCTTGCAAAAGGCGAGGTAGAATATTTTGTTTTTTATTTTGTTTATATTGTTATTAGTAAGAAAACCCAACTTTTCTATATCGAAATACTTCGAGTAAAGTTTTGGTAGCCAAAAAAATGTTAATGTTTTGGTTTTTGCGTAATAAATTTTTTATGGTTGATCTTAGCGCAAAATAGTTATGTACAATTTTAAAGGTCATAAAATGTTTTACAAATTTGCTAGACATTATTTATCCCAAGAAAATAGTAACAGAGCTATGAGATTTTAACATTTCACCAAATTTTCTTTTTGCCAAAATTACTAATGGTCTCTCTAATGTTGTATTTTCGAATTATTAAGGTCATTATAAATGAAACGCGCTTAAATACTAATGTGTTTAATTCTTACTGACGTCAAACTCGCATTTGAACGTTCAGGTAAGAGTGATCAGATCATTTCTGTCAAAATAAATTGTTCAGGCTGACAAGAAAGTAGAAGAAGAAGAAGAAGAAGAAGAAGAAGAAGAAGAAGAAGAAGAAGAAGAAGAAGAAGAAGGAGAAGAAGAAGGAGGAGAAGAAGAAGGAGAAGAAGAAGAAGAAGAAGAACAACAACAGCAACAACAACAACAACAACAACAACAACAACAACAACAACAAGAAAGTAAAGAGATTTCGCCTTGCCACTAATGTTGATGAAACCATGCACTTCATGTTTGTGTATTCTTACCTTGAAGGCATCTTTGATGAATGCCACTCTCTTACTTAATGATTTGATGGGCGAACACAGTGAGATTACTGATAGTCGCACAGCAAAATCGTGTCTTCTTCAATAGTTTGAAGAAGCCATATTGTATCAGACAGACGAAATATTTGTTGAATAAAAAATATTAAATAACTTCTGGTATCGAAACAAGAAATATAATGATAGATTGATAGTTTACTAATTTCGGGTACGTCAACTACAACGGTCATTAGTCCCAGAAGTGTAATTACATGTTTTTTGCCCGAGAGGGCGGTGATCTTTCTCCCGCTGTATGGCGAGATCCGGTGCCGACCTACAATAAGCAAGCTTGAGTGTATCCCCAACCAGGTATCTAGCGGGTCACCACCCCCAGCCGGGACAATCTCTAAACTCCCGACAAGTCTTCCGGCATCTGTGGTAGTGTAGTGCATGTTAGTGTACGTGTGTAAGGGGTAAGAATAGGACAAGGAAGAGGAAAGTGAGATCGCGCGCGGTCCGTGGGCCGTTTGTTACGAGACTGCTTCGGCATTCACTTCACGAATTCAATCGGAGCAGCCGACCGCCAGATTTCACCTCCAGACAGCGATTGAATTCGACCTGCCGACTTGTGAGACAAGCTAGTGTCGAAAAATACTGCCACCGTCTGGACTCGAAACTAGGACCTCAGACGGGCATCAGTTGATGCCTTGAACCATCTCTCCCCGTAAAAAATATAATAACGGAGATGCATTTCTCAAACTATTTAAAACAATAGCTGACCTATTTACAGGTGAATCAAATAGAGAAATACCTACCAGCAAACAATTTCTAATAGAATGTTGAATCGGTCTTGCAGATATGTTACCTTTATTCTTTGAGTTAGAGATTTTAAAACTCTAGAACGCTGCAATTGACTCATGAAAGAAAGAAATATACAGGATGTCCGGGGAGGAAACGTCCAAACGTCGCATATAAGTTCTGAAAACAATTTTAAGCATATTTTTTCTAATAATCTACTGGGATTTTCCGAATGGTTCGCAATTAGCACTCAAAAGTTGGTTTGAAAAAATGCTTTCTAGGCACAAAAAAAATGTATTGCAGAAGCATAAAAACACTCCAGAAACATGTAAATTGTTTATTATTTACAAAAGAAATGAATATATTTGTTCAGAAACAAAAAATAACTGAGAAATAAAAGAACAGTCATGTGTAATTTAATTTTTTTAAATTTATGTGTTAATGTTTCTTCTTCTTCTTCTTCTTCTTCTTCTTCTTCTTCTTCTTCTTCTTCTTCTTCTTCTTCTTCTTCTTCTTCTAATAATAATAATAATAATAATAATAATAATAATAATAATAATAATAAATAAGCTATTATTGTTTTAAAAAGAAGAAGCGATCGTCATTTTATTTTATTGAAATGCTTTTCATGTAAGTAAATCGTGTTAAATGCCAGAACGTGTAGGCCTACTATCTCTCTTACCTGAACTTTCGAACGCGTGTTTAACTTCAGTAGGTATTAAAAACATTGGTATTTAATCGCCTTTTATTTATAAAGACCTTAACAATTCAGAAATATTACATTTGTGATTTTGGACAATTTCAGAATGAAAAGAAAAAAAATTGGTGAAATGTTAAAATCTCGAAGCTTTGGTACTATTTGCCTTAGAGAAATAATATGTAATGCAAATTTATAGCCAATGTTATGATCTTCAAAATTGCACATAACGACGTTTGCGTGAAGATCGGCCATTAAAAAGTTATTACGTAAAAAAAAGAACTTATTTTGTTTTGGGGGCTACCAAAACTTTTTCCAAAGTATTTCGAGGTGAAAAACTTAGGGTTTTCTTACTACTAACAATATACACAAAATAAAAAAATCTTCTACCTCGCCTCTTGCAAGGTTGACCCCCCTTTTTGCTCCACATTGAGTGCACTATCGGGAGTTTAATCGCGCGAGGGGAAAGTTATAATAACAGACATGATAATATTATCACATATTATATCATTTATTTAGTTTAAATATTATTTATCCCTTTCATACCTTTTTCATAACAGAAGAAGCATTACTTACTTTTTATTATCCCTTGTATCCTCTCACGAACCCCGTGTATTCCATAAACTATTTATTTATCTACAATTTAATTACTTAAAAACTAATTTTTTTAAAAATCACCTTTCCCCTTTATTTGAATTACGCTCTCCTTTGCAATTTAAAGATTTACCAACGTAACACCGAAGCCAATGACTTCCTGATTTCACTTCGCTAACCTGCGCAGGTTTGTGTCAAGACAGCTGGTTGATGTTTTCCTGAGTTGAGCGTTTCAGTTCTATTTCCTGAGGCGCATTGGCGTTTGTTACGGATTTAGATAGTGAATAGATGTTCGGAAGTGATCCGCGAGATCCATTATCTTGGAAATAATTGCTGAAAGCCATTCAATAATTTCGATTGTTGGCACATCTGAAGGAGAAACTAGAGCTTGGAAAGAGATTTCGTACTACGTTGTATGTAGGCCGCAATCCAGCCGAAGCAGCTGATTGCAGCTGGCTTGACGTCTTGTTTTGAAATTGTGATAAGGCCACATCGTGGTAAGTGTGATAAAATGTTGCAAAGGACACTATCATGCATTTGTAATGAACAATAGTTATAACACATCTCTAATGATTTTTGTGTTTTCATAAGTAAATCTGAAAATATTCAATGGTGATTTCATTCCTGAAAGACTGTGAGGTGCTGTGAGCAAATGATTATTGATTTTGTTTGTAAGGGAATTTAAATTTTCAGGATTTCTAAATCATGACCGAGCAGTTTATTGGGTACATAGTATCAATAGACTGTGAAAATGGTCTGGGTATTTATCAGGGTCAAATAAGTCATGTAGATCCTAAAGTCCAGACCCTAACTTTGAAAAAGGCATTCCGAAATGGAATACCTGAACAATCAAAGGAAATAGTTTTGAAGTGAGTGTTTTAGCTTATTGGTGAAATATAAAGTGAATAAACTATGAAATGTAAGTGCATTTGCAAGTATACTTCCTTGTTTCTCTCAGAGCCAGAGATATAAAAAATATATCAATTATCGAGAGAGCTCAGGAGACTGATGAAACAAATGTGTCAGCAAGTACTGTTGCTGTTACGAGACCATTAGCAAAACGACCAGGGAGATCTATTAGTGAAAGCATTGCTACTGGAAAAGGTATTCAACTTCGTGAGTCCCCAAGAAAACACGAAGAAACAAATGGTCGCAATAATAGTGAGTGAAGTATTTTCATGTACATTACATATTTACTCTCGTCATATTTCTTTATTTAAATGTCATTGTTTTAGCCTTGGGTTTCTTTGCAGTCTTGGAGGGTCGCAAGAGCCCAAATAAGAAGGATCGCCGTCACAAACTCTCTGAAAAGGATGAAGCTTGTTTTGGTACACCAATAGACAATTTTTTGCATCATGATTTTGATTTTGAAAAAAATTTAGCTCTGTTTGATAAACAAGTAAGTTTTTCTTGACTGTAGCTCAATAATATTCTTCATTGTGAAAGGGGGATGGGATAATGAATGTCATATTGCAGGCAGTATTTGATGAAATTGCTGCTCAGCGTCCAGATCTAGTTCGACAAACAGATGTAAGACGTGTTCAGAAATATAGACATGATGAAAACATACTTGCTACAACTCCTGCCAAGTATCGGCAACTAATAGTTCCATCACCTGGTTCCAAAGAATATGTTACAGGTAAGCATTGAAAATGGTGGAGTTTGTAAACAAAAGAAAAGCATTCTTTCAAGAGAAAATTGAAAAGGTTTTCATTGAATCGCATTGAATTAAATATGAATAATCCTTAGGTCATTAGACTTTTTCAATTTTTATAAAACTGTTTCATGAGCCTATGAGTTGTAAAGATTGTTTAAATCATTTGTGGGTCAGATTTCAGTTTTTATGCTGATATGACCACTCAGACTGACTGACACTATCTGCAGTAGTTGTGGCATATTTTGAAATTTCTGTAGCTGCTGCAGACTAAGAAACCGCACATAGCTTAAAGTGGATGAAGGCCATTAAATAGTAGTAGAATAGAAATTTCCAATGAGTGTAGGTATAAAAGGTACCTAAACAAGAAAGGCTAGTATATCTTCAAAATCTCTTAATAAAAAGTTAATAATAATGGAGGGTCAATTTTGCAACGTTCACGAACTGAGAAATATTTCAAAGTTAATGTAGCAGATTTCTGAAATTTGCAACAAATAATTTATACCAAATCAAACAAGATAAAGAAATTATTCCAAAAATTGTACACCACGTTTATAAACTAAAACATTTATCAATTTAAACCACATTCATCAATTTTATTTGCTTTGCTTGTACAACCCCTTTCTTCCTGATCTAAACATTCTGAGCAAACACTGTAACGCCAGTGGTCAAACAGAAGTGGAATTTCCGCTGTCTCAAATACCATTGCAGCTCTTATACTATTGCAGTGATCAAACCAAAACAAAAGGATAATTTAAAGCAACTGTTACAAATCGGGAGGAATGTATTGTAGTCATGGTATTCGCTTTCTGTACTACACAAAGAACTGAAAGTGAAAAAAATTTTTGTGAACTGCACACAACAGCTGCAGTGTTAATAAATTTTCCAGGTGTAATTACTCCTGGTAAGTGGTGATGTAATAAATTTATATACATTTATAAATTATATATATGTAATATACCTGTAGTACAGGGGGGAAGAGTAGCTCTGATCTGTAAATCTAATGGCCGGGTTTTCTGTCCTGCTCCAGAGGAAATTTGGGAATCACTTCAAAAATATGATCCCATATTTTCGGTCTTAAAAATTTGTGTTTAAAGGTTTTTGAACTGTAACTTCACATGCACATCAGAATTAAGGTTTATTGGTGTGGTTCCAAAACTGGTAGCAAGATAGATGCAATTTTGGACTGAAAATCAGAAAGAATCCATGTAGGTATGCATTGCTCATAGTTCAGTCAGATTAGGTTTTTAGTTGAAACTTCATAAATACTTCAGGATTAAGAACTATTTGTCATTCTCGAGATCATTAAAATATTTAATTTTTTGGGTCTCTTCCTGATTGCGAATGTAGTCTTTCTACTCCCAGGTGTAGGTTCTACTTTAGGTAGTCCCTGTGACATTTTTCAGAATTTTCATGAATAATTAGCTGAACATTATTAAATGGCTCCCAATTTTTACTTTCTTACGACAAAATATTGTGATCATGCGCCAGGAAATGGCGAATATTCAATCGAAAAACTTATATTGCCATGCTTTGGAATCGAAAAAGGGCATATCTTGCTTATACATATTGTAGTGTAGTGTAGTATAGTCAGAATTCAATATTTGTGGGTCTTAGATACCTAAAAGTCGATAAATGGCCAAACGTCTGCCCATCTATCTGTGAACAACTCTGGTAGATAAATTATTCAGCCTATTTTCTCCCAAATTTGATATTCCCCAATCAATGTGGCTGATGCAGCGTCCTCTTGAATTTGAAACCTATAAACCTTTTGGGGGTACTTTACCTGAAGCTCTGGAACATTATCAAAATTTTCAAAAAAATAGTTCCAACGTTTTTGATTAAATTTTGTTGTTGGATAGTGTAATGGACGTTTAAGAGAATGCTGCAAGTCTCTTTGTTCGTTGAGTATTATTGACGTAATTTTACGTAAAATAGAAAATTTTAATTTTATTCAAACAATTTTGTCTCAAAAATAGCACTAACAATTTTGATTAAATTTTGGTCTCGTTAAGCGTGAAGGGCGCTTAAGCGAGTGCAGGTCATATGTTCATTGAATATTCTGTATTTTGGAGTCTCCAAAAATTCAATTTCGTTTCAATGTGTTCATCAAAAACAGATATTTTTGTGTTCAATTTTTCAAAAATAATTTCGAGTTTTTTTTGTGTGAAATTTTGTGTTAAACGTGGGCAACTTTTATTTTCTTTAACAATTTTTTCCCCCGATTCGAATTTCTTGCGCTTCTGGAGCGTAATGTGTTTGCAGGCAGTTGGATGCTACGCAAGTTAGAATGTGTATATTTCATATTTCTTCGTACGTTTCGTTCATTTGAATTTTTGTTATATATTTACAAATTAATCTTTTAGAATTTATTTAAAACCTTTTGATAATCTCTCTTTTTGTTTTCTCCTTGTTGCGAGGGCTGTATTTGCATTCTCAATGTTTTTATGTATTTTCTTTTAAGAAATCTGCAAACATTAATTGAAATTAGCCCAATTAGATGTACTCGCTTAAACTTAAGATTTAAATTTTATTTTGAAGGAAAAATTGTTAGATTTCAGGAAATGAGTTTGGAATGCGACAATGGCATTCCGCCCCGCGAGATGACAGTTGTAGTTCTGTGAATTACGTCTCATTGTAGGGACATGATTTAGCTGTATGAAAGGCAGTTATAATTGCACCGACCAGAGAGTATATATTGCCACCGACCTGGAAGCAGAGCGTATGCCGACTCATCGCCTCGGTCTGAAGGGTCCGGTTGTCTGTGGGCATGGTTGTCCCTTGTCTTTCAAATATATGCATTCTTGGCCATCCGGGATGAGTCGCGTCTCAGTCAATTGGGCTCACGTTTCGGCCATCTTGTTGTGGCCTTCTTAGCTATACAGAACAGCAGCAGCATAGTTGTGAAGAAGCTTAAGTATAGCACTGAAGAAGACCACAGCAAGATGGACAAAACAGCACAATTGACCGAGACGCGGCTCATCCCGGATAAGCAAGAATGCATTGTCTCCGGCCGCGGAAGACAATGAACGCATATTACATGTTTTGACGCGGAAGGCCCGAGTCTGCTGACCGCTGACCGACGGGCCCGAACCTAATGTTCTACAGCTTGTAACGAGTTTAACAAAGAAATGATGACTCCGATGTGTTAATTCGGAGAGAAATTACGGAATTAAATAACATTACGCAGGGCTTGATTTCCCGTTCCGGAACGGCGTTATTGTACCGGGGAAATAATCATTGTTATAAATATATAACTATTTTTATTAAATTAATGATTTATTTGGGGCGCGTTATGGGACCGAAGATTTTTGTAATCAAGCACTGGTATTACATAACCATTACTAAGGGCGAGAAAGTATGTGCTGTTTTAACTCCTCTAATTTCTTGAAATCTGATCCTTAAAGACAATCTTGATATAAAGTCTTGTTCAATTTTTTGAAAATGAAAAGTTTTCCCGTAATTTAGCGTAAATATGGGCTCTTTATTTTTATTCGCAATTGTTTTTTTATCAAACGACTCCCATCTTTAAAAAAAAAAAAAATTTAATGTGCAAACTTAATATAATCTACCTTTGTGGTAGAAATAATTGAAGTAAATATTCACCTAGTGAAGTCATATTGTATGTCTTGTTCTTTATTTCTTCTGCCTAGTTAAAAAAATTATGTCAAGAAATATTGTACCTTTGCACAAGTATTTTATTATCTATAGGGGGGAAAAAACAAACTGAGACAAGCTCTTTCGAATCAATGAACACTCAAAAATAAATAGATTCTATTAAAAGATTACATGTTTTAGAGATAAGTCTCTATTTTAACGAAATATATAAAATATGCGCCTATAATCACACGAATATCACCAACAAGAAAAATAGACAAAATATGCACAAATATGCACTAACATATTAATCTAATTAGCATCATATTCTTACCAAATCTCAAGAAATTTCACTTAACTATGCAAAGAAGCAATGGATACTCACAAATAAATTTGTAAAATTGTAGAAATCCACTTCCTAGTAATGAGTTTTAGTGCTGAGATTTGTTAATATGGACAGACATTACAATGTTACAATTTGATATAACCGTTCTTGATGTGAGGAAGTAGTACTAGTATCACTAGTTTTAATTGAGTTTGCGGAAATATTTTGTTTTTTCTGGTTTAACCTAATCTCTAGTATTCATTGACATGAAAGATAATTCTATTTGTTTTTCCACTCAAGACAAAGAACATTATGCATTGCATAATGCAATGCATATTGCATTAATTTTGGGTTTCTTTACTTTCCACTTAGTTTCATACTTCAAGATTTCTATGAATACTAATCTAACTTTAATATGGTACTGTGGGGATGTGGAGTGCTGATAGTGAAATTGATTTTAGAAACTGCAAATAACATTGCCCAAACATTGTCATGTGAGAGTTCATTTCAGAGATTCCTGATATTAAATTGGAAATGGATCTTGCCAATTTTTGGGGGTACTTTATATGAAGCTCATAGATCAATTTCAAAAATTTCTCAAAAACACTTTAAATTTACTCGTTACGTATTTGGCTCAAATAAAGAGAAGTATCCTCAAGAAAATGGTACATGTAAGATTTTTATTAAAATCTCGTTATTCTTCAAAAATTGCAGTAGTAAAATTTTTTGGGGGACTTTTTTCTATAATTACATTGTTGAAGATATAGATTTTACTTAATGAAATGTGTTCTCTAAAATTAGCTCCCTGAATAATCTCACTTTTATTTTTTTCAAAATTATGAGATTGTGGAATTTTGAGAGGAATGGAGACCAACAAATAATTTTAAAAAAGCATTTGGAATTGTTTAAAGAAAAAAAAATTGGAGCCTTACTTGACCCCCTCCCCAAAAGACAATTTTTTAAAATTTAATATTGCTCCAAATTTTTTCTTTAAATTGTTTGCACAAATAGATTCAATATTGCTTAATAATATGACATAGGTGTGACTTTCAATAAAACCTCTAGAATTTTGATAATTTTTTTAACATTACGTAGCTGAAATTGCACATACTAATATTGTCTGTCAAATTTTAAGAAATGCAAGTGAACTGATGCTTCTCTTCTGCAAATCATTTCCCTTTTAACTTGAGTGTGTAGGGATTGTTTTTAAAAACTTGTACCTTATATTACAGATGAAGGCTTGGTTATTCCAAGCATAACTGCTGATGTACGAAGGCAATTGTTGATGGCAGCAGAGCGAAGAGGACTGACTATAGAGAGACAGACTGAAATGATGGGTCGTGCTGTAGCTGAAATGGCTTTGCAACTCCTTGGAGGAGGACATAGGTAACTCATATAAACTCAGTTTTACCGTATGAAGTATTAAGTTGTAATGGTGGAAAAATTATCTTTATATACAAACTTTATCTAGCTTTTTTTAAATTTAACAAACTGAAAATATTTTTAAATTATTATACTTTTAGACTTAGGAAAACAAAATTCTCAACATTTTTTTGAGTTTATAATAGGAACTTATATTTTTAGAGCATATAAAACCATTATTACATGTTGTAATTAACAATCATAAAAATCAATTAATCTCTTACATGAATTAATATACTTGCATGTGAAGAAATTTAAAGCATTCTATAATGGAAAGTGTCTCCATGCTAACGAAAAGCCTAGAAATCTAACAGTTGATGCCTCTCCTGAGAGGGAACGCATTCCTTCAGTACTTCCCTGCTTTGTGTGTCAGAAATGACTAACAAGAAAATATTCGGTACATGTGTGGAACCATCTATATTGTAGTTTAAATTGATAAAAATTATTTTCTAATTTTTTTTTACTTTCTTGCTGTACTAAGTGCTTTTATGTAAAAAACAAAAACAAAAAACGTTTGCTGCAGTGGAAAGAGATGATTTTTTGCCAGAAAACTTTTTGAAGACTTGTCTGATATTGTGGATAAAAGTAGATAAATGTAACTTCAAATTAACTGCTCTCAGAAGCAAGTCACACACGGTTTTTAACTGTTTTTGTTGTAAATAAATCAATGTGTGGGGTCTTGTTATTGTGCATAAAAGGGGATAAATATTAAATTAAATAAATATATTCTACTAGCGGCAGCAGCAGCAAAAATGCTGCCATAGAGTTGTGGAAAATGGGGTGTCAGCAGCAAAAATTTGAATGCTGAAGTTTTTCTTCTTCATCACGTAACCTCAGCTTGTCTGTAAGCACTAATACACTAAGAAAGATCTGTTCTTTTGTCAGGTTTTAAAAAACTACAAATTAAGGTAATCAAATATTTGTATATTTTCAATCAAAGTCATAACTATTTCATTGCTTTTGTTTTTTTCCGTGTTTGTGGGTTTCTAACAAAACCATAGATACTTCTTACGGACAGGAGGCTGCGTATTTTTCTTTCAATTTCTGCATACATTAGTAATTAGTAATATAGGTATGTAGAAAATGTCTACCTCTAACACTGTGGGTATTGAGAATTGACATTTGTGGGTCCTTAATACTGAAAAATTGGTTGACAGCAAAACGTCCATCCGTCCAAAGTCAACACTAGTTCCTAAACTACTCTACTCTACTATTCTATTTTGGCATAAATTGATATTGCCCCATTGATCAGGCTGAACTTAAACCCTGAAAAAAGATATTTTGATTTTTGGGGATACTTTGGAGAGGAGAATTTATATTTTGAAAATTTTTTAAAAAATTGCTAAATTTTCGTATTAAGACTTTTTCCTTGAGTTAAGACACTTAAAAAATGGCAGATGTATCAGTCTCATTGAAATTCTGAATTTTCCAAAATAACAATAATTCAAATATTTTCCTGCATCTACCTACAATACAATTGTGAATATAGAACATTTTTCTATAATGAAATATATTTTTCAAGGTCATATCTTTATATAAGGTATGAGTAGAATTGAAATATGAGTAGTTTTTGCGTAATTTTGCTTGAAATGAAAGCAATTTTTAAACAATTATTTTCTCAATAACTGCTTGTAAATTTTTTGAAACATAGTAGAGATTGTTGATGAAAATGGTACAGATCCCATTTTCAGTGAACTCTTCTTTCGAAAATGGTAGGCAATACAAAATTGCAAGAAAGAATGTGTTGAAGTCTCATTGATTTCCATTCCGTCTGGCCCACGTATACAATAAGTGTTTTATTGCTGAAAATTTCAATTTTGTTAAGCTGGTTAGGTCCAAAGAAAATCTCTTATAGAAAAATTTGTTGGACAATGCGAGAATAGATTAATATCACATTGTTATGAACAACTCTAGCTTCTACTCCATTGTTTCTGTTAATGTGTCAAGAGAAATAAAGTTAAAAAAAGCCTACTTAATTTAACCTTAATAAAGTAAATTATTTGTAATAAATTTTTGTGCGAGTAAATACCATTGCAAGTTCTGTGAAAGCTTGAATGCACAATAAAGGGATCAAATAGCTGAGACTAAATAAAAAAATTAAATGTTTGGGTTTTGAATGTTGGTTAGTTTGTAAGTTTTCAGACAAATTAAATTGAGATTCATATTTTTCAAAGAAAAGTGAAAAAGAATGACAAAAAAGAAATAAGGTTTGACTCCAAGGAGGAACACTTGGTGATACTAGTTTCAGGTTTATTGATTGTCGAACCTAGAAAATATTATTAACAGAAATTTCATTCAAATTGCATACACAACGCTTTATTATTCATGAACCACTTGCTAATATTAATGAGTGGTGCTAAAGAATGGCCCGGACTTTCTCCTGGAAATTAGTTTCCTTTTCGTTTGAGTCTTGGAAAACATTTTGGTTTTGCCCTCACTCTCTTCTAATCTGCTATCTACAAACTCTTACCTATCAGTGCAACTTGCAACCACTTTTCTGAGGTAACTCCTAGTGAAGAGCACCTTTGCTCCCTATTGGCCTACTTGGATCCTGTATGTTTGTATATTTGCCCATTGTATCTCTTGGTCTCATCTTGGTGCTTGTAATATTGTAGGCATAGGGATTCAATTCCACAATTAAACTTGCAGATTGTACATACAATACCATGTCAAGCCAAAAGATTATGGAAGGTTTAAGATATAAATGTAATATAGGAGGGTCTCGGAATGCCACCTTGCCATGAACACAACTTCAAAACATACATGCTTTATGTGAGTCGAACCCACAGCCTTAATGTCCACAATTTTGGGCTCACATGCCCCATGCTCTTATTTCACGAGGCCGAATCACTATACAGTACCATTTGTAAAACAGTTCCAGTTATAAAGCATTATAATTTGATAAAACTAATAATGTTAATAAAACAGACCTTTTTATGTGTTTGTGACCTTCAATATGCTTTGTAGCATTGAATGAAAACAATTCTGAGAACATTTGTTTTCATAGCAACAATACAAGCAAAGTCACTGATCAAATCATCGGACTCAATAATGAAAAATAAACAAACTGTACAGAATATGTAGAACATAATATTTACAAAATGGTAATTAACACAGTGGTGTAGTTAACTTTCATGTAATATTTATATTGAAGAAAGAGTGTTTTATCAAAACAGGCCACTTGTCAAAAAGCATTATTACCTCAAAACTATTTACGCATCCTACATTTTCACATTTTCTCAATTTTTTCAGTTTTTCATCCTTCTAATTGTAGAATGGAAGTAAAAGTTAAAGAATACATTTAATACATTATGAAATGATGATGAATGATGGGTATTCATTCACGAGTGTGATATTATGGTAAGAGCAAGTATTGTAAACTTCACATGAATGTATTAATACCCATTACATTGAGTTTCATAAGTTACTTTTTTTTTTAACTTATGGTAACTTTTATAAGTTGAACTTTTACATTCAATCGTTTTGTGGCAGTTGACATGGAGGATTCTGCTGAGGCCTCCTAGCAGACAGCTGCCTTACCCTGTGCGCGAGAGTGCAAAAGTTGCAGAAATAATTTCGAGGTCACCATTTTTTGCTTTTTCTCTTCTTTGTGGAGGTGTCAACTCATTCTCTAATTCACTAGGCATATTAAATGAAAGAATTGGCCAGTTTTTGAGGGCAACCACAAGGCAGCAATAAATAAGACTTATTTAGAATAATTTTAGCGTACTGATCTTAACGTCATTCAAATGATACCACTATCACTACCACGGAGCTAGTCAAATAGGTTCATAGTGAAATTATGATCAAATTTATTTTAAATAATTTTTCACATAAAAATTACTAATAATAAAAGAAATTAAAACTGATAAGTTTAATATAGTATTAAATGCAATTTTAATGCACACAATGAAACGAAAAATGTACTAGAATGATTCTCAATGATTTAGAACAATACAATGAAGTGTCAATGCTTGGTTTGTTAACTTCTCTGTGATTGATTTTGTGAATCATCCTGTATCATAATGAAATCGGTATCGTAATGAGTATCATTATGCAACAGGTTGCAGCCATCAAATGAGAGAAAATAGTATGTAAGAAATTATACCCTGGTTTTATGTGGAAATTATCAATGACAAATTTGGAGCCATTTTTGGAAAAATGTTTGAGTGTTTTCAAAAATGTGCCCTTTTGAGCTTATTTCCACCAAAAAATTTGAGTTTTCTAGAAACGTAATAAGAAAACATTTGAAGCATTTGCACTCTCAAATGCAGTAATAGAATAAAGCACGTGTAATGAATGTAAGAGTGTAAGGTAAGGGTAAAAAGGGTTTGGTATTCCTACTATCATTTTGTATTATATAATATTCCCCTAATATTCATTTTGGGATAAATCCAACACTAGTTTAGATACTAAAGTGGTTGACATATTTTGAAAAATAAAAACCCGTTTTTTGGTATCCGAGTACTCCAAAATGTGTATATCCATTAAAATCTGGAAATTTATTTTCTGCAACATTCTCTTACATGAACTGTCTAACCACTTTCTCTTATATGATCATAAGTTATGTAATGTTGCAGAAATTGATTTCTATGTATGTTATTCCATGTATTGTATATAAGCATGTAAATGAATAAGTAAAAAGTGTTTTCGAAGTGATGGGAGGAGTGCAATCGTATACTTCTTTTCATTTATGAGTGATTATGAAAAATCTAATGGTTTTCAGACTAAACCCTCGAAATTCACATCAGTGGCCCACTGTTGTGGCTTTGTGTGGCTCTCATCGACAAGGTGTAGTGGGCATTAACTCTGCACGCCAGTTGGCTAGCCATGGAGTTAAGACTATTGTGTACCTGTTGGACTCAGCAAACCTTTCACCACTTGTCACAACAGAGCTTACACTCTACAAACTCACCCATAATGCAATTATTACAAATACCAATGGTAAGTTGAATCAATTTTCTTAAGACATAAAAATGCTTTTATGTTTTTGTTAATTATTTGAAACCGGTTCGTATGTGAAATGTATAAGACAGTCTACTCTGGTGATAGTGAACTCCTAGGGATTAACGTTTTTGGTTCACTATATCTGACGATGTCAAAATTAAATAGATTTTCTCCACAATGATTGATTTTATTAATATAGAAATACTTCAACATACATTAATACCATGAACTGAAAATTGAAATATCTTTATTTGTCCTTAAAAATTCAATTATTTGCTTCATGTATTTTTGTTAGTAATTTCTCTAGATTCTTCTCCAGAGTTTGTGCTCTCTCCATACTTGATTCTGTATTACCCACTGTCTCTAAGTAATGTAATGCAGACTTGACACCCTTCATTGCCTCTTCCACTGTCGGAATACCGAAGGCCCTTTAACTCTCTTGATAACATAAGAGATCCTTTTGGTAGTGGGATGGCGCAAGAGGTTAATGAAACTGATAGCTTTTCTGTGTGGTGTGGGGGTTTTGCCAGGCTGTAGGGCTGTGGCAGTCACACGCCTATGTAGAACACAACATTCACTGACCTGCGGAATATAACTCTAATCTTGAATCTGCAAGCAATTGCTTGTCGCCGCCACCAGTTGTAGCTGACGCAGGACATGATTTTTGTTGAGTGAAACTGAGAGACATAAGGTAATCGGTAAACGTCTCCATTCTAGGTCTGCTACTTTCACCTCAGGGAAGACTTCTATGACATTTGTTTGACTATATTTTTTCCAAGCAGCCTAGTGTTGAAATTTGTGGCACTGAGGCGATATATTCTTTTCCAGGAGGGTTTTAATTGTGTTTCCAATGTTCACTGTTGCAAAGGTTCAGGTTCACGAAAAACGAATCTTCTTATGCTTATTTGTAATGCAAGTGTAACGGGACCAGTGACTTTGTTTGCTATAACCAAGGATTCACTACTTTCTTCTTCTTCTTCTTCTTCTTCTTCTTCTTCTTCTTCTTCTTCTTCTTCTTCTCCTTCGTCCTTCTTTCTTCTCCTTCTTCCTTCTTTCTTCTTCTTTCTTCTTCTTTCTTCTTCTTTCTTCTTCTTTCTTCTTCTTCTTTCTTCTTCTTCTTCTTCTTTCTTCTTCTTCTTCTTCCTCTTTCTTCTTCTTCTTCCTTCTTTCTTCTTCTTCTTCCTTCTTTCTTCTTCTTCTTCCTTCTTTCATCTTCTTCTTCCTTCTTTCATCTTCTTCTTCCTTCTTTCATCTTCTTCTTCCTTCTTTCTTCTTCTTCTTCCTTCTTTCTTCTTCTTCTTTCTTCTTCTTTCTTCTTCTTGTTCTTCTTCTTCTTCTTGTTCTTCTTCTTCTTCTTGTTCTTCTTCTTCTTCTTGTTCTTCTTTCTTCTTCTTTCTTCTTCTTTCTTCTTCTTTCTTCTTCTTTCTTCTTCTTGTTCTTCTTCTTTCTTCTTCTTGTTCTTCTTCTTTCTTCTTCTTGTTCGTCTTCTTTCTTCTTCTTGTTCTTCGTCTCTCTTCTTCTTGTTCTTCTTCTTTCTTCTTCTTGTTCTTCTTCTTTCTTCTTCTTGTTCTTCTTCTTTCTTCTTCTTCGTTCTTCTTCTTTCTTCTTCTTCTTTCTTCTTCTTTCTTCTTCATCTTCTTCTTTCTTCTTCATCTTTCTTCTTCATCTTTCTTCTTCATCTTTCTTCTTCATCTTTTTCTTCTTCTTTCTTCTTCATCTTTTTCTTCTTCTTTCTTCTTTCTTCTTTCTTCTTCTTCTTTCTTCTTCATCTTTTTCTTCTTTCTTCTTTCTTCTTTCTTCTTTCTTCTTCTTTCTTCTTCTTTCTTCTTCTTTCTTCTTTCTTCTTTCT